AAAATCTTAAAAAAAAAAAAATTATTGGAGCTTGGATGGGATGTGTTGCCACACCCACCATACTCGCCTGACCTTGTGCCATCAGACTTCCACTTGTTTCGCTCTCTTCAAAACTCCTTGCATGGTATAACATTCAATTCAGATGAGGCTGTAAATCAGCACTTTGTTCAGTTTTTTGCAAATAAAGACAGGTCCTTCTATGAACGAGAAATTACGAAGCTCACTGAAAGATGGCAAAAGGTTATCCAACAAAACGGGCAATATATCATTGATTGATCTTTGTTCTTTATATAAATAAATGACCTTTGAAAAACATAGACAAAATACGTCATGACTTTTCTGACAACACTGTAGATGAATAGATGAACACACACTGTGATAATGATATGATAATAGGCAGGAGAGGGTAGGGGTAGAACCCAGGATGGATGGGGAGAGGAGATAAACAGGACTTCAGATAGATCTGTCATGATTTCTTTTTAAAAAAAGAAAGGATCTAAAAATAAACAAAATGTTAACAGTTGGGTAATGGAAATATACATTATTTTCAGTACTTTTTGGTAACATTTAATTCTGGAATGCCCTTTTCCTATCCCCTCAGGCCACCTACTTCCAACTGATCCTCAAAAATCCAGCTCAGCCAATTTCTTCATCTGCCTTTTCTAACCCTAGTTCATTTCTCCTGCTTGCTTCTTTAGCTTCTGGGATATTTGATCACCCAATCATAATTGTACATGGGATAGTACAATTATTTACTGTATATCTACCTCTTCTATAATACTTGTGGGCCTTCTGAAGACATGATCCATGTAACCCTAGCAAGTAGCAAAGAACCCGGGCAAAAGCAAACACCCAATACATGTTGACTGAATTGAATTGTGAAGTAGGGAGATCAGAAAAAGTTTCAGTGCAGGGTCAGAAAGGTCCTTCTGGAGCATCCTACTTCAGAGAAGAATGGTGATGCAATTGTTGCTGACAGCCATTTTGCAACACTGAGGAGAGCCAGCCTATGGTAGACAGCCTCTAAGATGGCTCCCCATCATCCTGCCTCCTGGCAATCACACTCCTGTGTAATCTCCTCTTGAGGGTGGGCTACTGACTGGACTTAATGACTCACATTTTAAAAATATAATGAGGCATAGGGATGGGATATCATTTCTAAACTTGGGTTATAAAAAGACTGTGGCTTCCTTCCTGGTCACTCTCACCCTCTCTCTGGATTTGCTCAATATGGGGGAATCTAAATGCCGTGTCTTGAGGCAATCATGTGGAAAGACCCACATGTGGGAGAGGATTCCACCTACCCACCCACCCACCCATAGTGAGAGCTTAATCACAACCTGATAAGAAACCTTAAGTCAAATTCCTGACCCACAAAAACTATATTTATGTTTTAAGCCACTAATTTTGGGGATAATTTGTTACATAACAACAGAGAACTAATACACAGTGTAGAAAAGAAAACAAAACAAAACAGAAAATCGGGTGAGGGCCCTGATATACATATACACAAGGTCGGACAATTAAGTTCGTGAACTCATCCTAGAAAAAGTGCTACATGCTTCATTGTTGAATATCACTACGGTCACTTTCTCACCTTCCAAGTACTCCCCTTGGAAAGCTATGCACTGACGTCAGTGTCTAATCCACCTTTTAAAGCAATTCTGGAACTCTTTTTCTGAAATGGCCATCAGAGCTGTTGTCATATTACCCTTGATGTCCTGAATGTCAGTCATCAAAATGTCTTCCTTTCAATATTTCCTTTAACTTCGGGTAAAGAAAGAAGTCACTGGGGGCCAGATCAGCTGAGTAAGGAGGGTGTTCTAATACAGTCATTTGTTTACTGGCTAAAAACTGCCTCACAGACAGTGCCGTGTGAGCTGGTGCATTGTCGTGATGCAAGAGCCATGAATTGTTGGCAAAAAGTTAAGGTAGTCTAACTTTTTCACGGAGCCTTTTCAGCACTTCCAAATAGTAAACTTGGTTAACTATTTGTCCAATTGGTACAGATTCATAATGAAAAAAGGTTAGCAACATCATTGCAACAAGTTCACGAACTTAATTGTGTGTGTGTGTGTGTGTGTGTGTGTGTGTGTGTATACTTGCAGTAGACAACATTCTAATTGATATACTGTATTTTGCCATGTGTAATGCCCCTCCTGTGTATAATACGCTCCCATATATAATGCACACCCACGTTTTTG